AGACAAACAATCAATAGACACTTGAGTAAGAAGTGCAATAATGCCGTAAGAATCAATCCAAATAGTATCAATTGACCCCAAAGCAAATGCAATGGGATCTATCTCACCGTGTAATATATTATACATGCATCTTTCCAACATCTGATTTGAAATCACTCCAACTTCCGGTTTAGATTACTTATTCTTCATTTAATAGAACAGCAGATTAGTCCGTCATTATTCCTTAATCACTCGGTTCGATACACATGTAATTTTTTTTCATTTTGAATCTTCATCCACTGGAACAGCAATCCAGAGTCCAATTCCCCGTGCTCAAAATATTACCTTTGGAGATTTGGACGGTAGAGTAGGAAGCACCTGGATGTCCACAAGAAGATGGTAAACATGATATTATGCCCACTCCCTCCCTAGCATTGGCCCAGAAAAATTTCGAGCCCAATAAAATTCTCTGGTCCGAACATTTTTATGGCCCCAATTAGTTGGCCCTTTTACGAAATTACTGGGCCTCTTTCGGCCTTATTTTTTATTTTTAGGCCAAATTATTAAGAAAATCGACCGTGTTTTTTTCAAAATTACGGCCACAACTTTGGTTCAGAGGTGTGGGAAATATTTTTTCAGAATTTAAATATGAACGTTTTCAGATCCGCCCCTGCCTACTCCTCAAATCCCAATCTGGTTATTTTCATCACTATTCAAACCAGTGAAACCAAAGTAGGCCTAAGTTCTTATGAACAGATGAATGCCTCATTTCCTCCGTTAATGTGATACAGGGAGTAAAGTCACAATGGAAACATCACTTCAAGCCAGGCTATACCCTTCATCAAGTCTTGTAGCGCTAACTAGCTTCAAGCAAGTGACACAAGATCAACAAAAATCAATGCATTTAACAACGCAAAAGAAATGAGCAGTTGAGGTAAGGAGTTCCTATAATCAATACTCTGATTGACAAGAGGATTTAAAAACTAGTTTCGTTTGACGAAATTCGGCCCATTTGAACCAGGAAGATCAGTATGGAACGTTAATTACATAGTCTATGGGTATTCACACAGATTTGATTTGGCAAGATGTTATCATCAAACAAAGATTATTTTAAGGCTGGTATTGTACGTATTTTTATAACAGGTGTTATCAAGTCTCCTTTCTCTTATGTATCGCGATCGTTCGGATTCACACAGTTGTTTTACCTAGACGATCTATAATGATTCCCATAGGCTTGATTTTGCATAAAAGTTAGGTAACTGAAAACGATTTTCAACACACATTTCCGCATTGATTTAACTTTTGGAATAAAAAACGCAGCGGTATGTAATTATGCATTGGTCCAAAGTAATTTTAAATAACCATATGCTATCATGTAAACCGAATCACTCGAAAAATTGACTATCAAGTAAATACAAATTACGAATCACTTTCACTTGGCGTTGCAGCGTGCAATATAACCTCCGAGCCAAAAATCACCCTACTGTGACCCAATGTGTATACAGTGTGTACTAATCTGACCGAATATCAAGATATTTAAAACTGTAATCTATAAATGCATCAAACATTTTGATTAAAGATATATAATATATAAGAGAATGAGTGCGATACATTACCCATTACCAGGGACTTACGAGTCCATGACATTGCAAACAGTTAACGCCATTTTAAAATGTATTCTAAATGCCAAATGACATTCCTTGAAGGCCTGGCGTTTATCCATAGGGATGTGACTATTTACTTTGAATTGTTCCGTAGACAAATGGATTAAGATTCCGTCCATTACTTAAACACTAAAATGAGCTATTAAAGGATTGACAAATGTAAAGTAATCATTATTGATAGATATTTACGAAATTAATTACTTGTACAACCTGCATGAGATTGATTTAATTTTAATGTCATACCTATTTTCACATTTTGATATATCTGATCATATTTTAACTATACCTATTTTCACAATACGATCTATCTTAGTTATACCTATTTGCACAATCCGATCTATCAGACCCTATCTAAGTTATACCTATTTTCACAATCCGATCTATCAGACCCTATCTAAGTTATACCTATTTTCACAATCCAATTTATCAGACCCTATCTTAGTTATACCTATTTTCACAATACGATCTATCAGACCCTATCTTAGTTATACCTATTTTCACAATCTGATCTATCAGACCCTATCTAAGTTATACCTATTTTCACAATCCGATCTATCAGACCATATCTTAGTTATACCTATTTTCACAATCTGATCTATCAGACCCTATCTAAGTTATACCTATTTTCACAATCCGATCTATCAGACCATATCTTAGTTATACCTATTTTCACAATCCGATCTATCAGACCCTATCTAAGTTATACCTATTTTCACAATCCAATTTATCAGACCCTATCTTAGTTATACCTATTTTCACAATACGATCTATCAGACCCTATCTTAGTTATACCTATTTTCACAATCTGATCTATCAGACCCTATCTAAGTTATACCTATTTTCACAATCCGATCTATCAGACCCTATCTTAGTTATACCTATTTGCACAATCCGATCTATCAGACCCTATCTAAGTTATACCTATTTTCACAATCCAATCTATCAGACCATATCTTAGTTATACCTATTTTCACAATCCGATCTATCAGACCCTATCTAAGTTATACCTATTTTCACAATCCGATCTATCAGACCCTATCTTAGTTATACCTATTTGCACAATCCGATCTCCCAGACCCTATCTAAGTTATACCTTTTTTCACAATCTGATCTATCAGACCCTATCTAAGTTATACCTATTTTCACAATCCGATCTATCAGACCCTATCTTAGTTATACCTATTTGCACAATCCGATCTATCAGACCCTATCTAAGTTATACCTATTTGCACAATCCGATCTATCAGACCCTATCTAAGTTATACCTATTTTCACAATCTGATCTATCAGACCCTATCTTAGTTATACCTATTTGCACAATCCGATCTATCAGACCCTATCTAAGTTATACCTATTTTCACAATCTGATCTATCAGACCCTATCTAAGTTATACCTATTTTCACAATACGATCTATCAGACCCTATCTTAGTTATACCTATTTTCACAATCTGATCTATCAGACCCTATCTAAGTTATACCTATTTTCACAATCCGATCTATCAGACCCTATCTTAGTTATACCTATTTGCACAATCCGATCTATCAGACCCTATCTAAGTTATACCTATTTTCACAATCCGATCTATCAGACCATATCTTAGTTATACCTATTTTCACAATCCGATCTATTAAATCATTTGCCCTACAATATCTGATCTTTTGAAATGATATTGTTATTTAGACTTTCTCGGAAATCTTTTAAAAGCGTTCGTGTAAATGTAGAAAAATAGTTGTCTGAGAGAAGGACTTAATGCGTTTTCAATAACTTAGTATTGAATCACAACTGGTGTAGAAAAACAATTCCTACGGAATGATTGACTTAGACATTTCATATAGGGTAGTTTATTTTGTAGGAGATTAAGCAGCTGTTCAATAAATTGGAAAAATGAATTCTGCGAAATTCTTGATATTTTTGATAAAATGCTCCTGCATGTTCCCCACCATGACATATACTGTATTCACAAAATTCCTGCATCAATCCTGTTACTTTTGGAACACCGTGTATATGCATATATATTTTATTCACTGAATGTTGCATATGATTGAACATTGAATGTCTCACAACGATCAGGTGCTTGGTTATGGTAAAACACATGCCATTTATAACATTACATCGTACACTGACACACACAGCCAGGCCCAGGCTTTAAGATTATCGCAACAATATACCTCGATCGCCTCCAATGGAGGTCCGACCTTTAATATAGAAATATATAAGAACTGACAATCTCTGTCACTTGAAATCATCTTAGCATGCAAAGACTACATGTTTAATCTACAGTGACATGCATGCACTTTGATATTAAGCTTATATTATGTAAACACTTGTCTCTAAATGATATAATCCGACTTTAAAATCGATTTACGAGGTCTGACGAGTTCGTTACCACACATGCATTTTATATTATATCATTTTGTCGATAGTTGCATAATGATATTAAACGTTGCATTTCTGTTGCATAGTCCACGGCTTAATCCATAATGTTTTAAGTGCTGTATAGGTAGTAGGTATAGTATATTTGATATTCGGAAATGAAAATAATAAAATATTTCATAATGTAAAATGTAGGGACCCAAGATTGAAACTACTGAAAAATTAATGCTATTTTGGAATTAATTTTGCACATTTTGCACAGAACATTAATAATTCATCAATACGTGGTCATGGTTATCTGTAGTATTCTATTCTCTTATGATATCCATAGAAAGTGAAACGTTTTCAAGCAAATCAGGATCAGCTCGTAGAACTACCCTAAAAACGTTATATAGCAAACATTCACGTGTACTACTACTTATAACATTTGGTTTCAAAATATCCGCTATTGCATGGTTAATATATACTACTATTAAGTACGTAACTGTTACTTAAAAACGTTTGTAACACATTGATCTTGAGACATTGACGTTTTATAAATAGTTTCCTTGGCATGGATTATCGTGATATCTATAATTACGTATTCTTAGTACTTCGTTTATCTCATTCCCTGATTAATAATTGAATATACTCAACATACTCCAGATTGATACATTCAACTAATGAACACATAAAATTATCAATTCACTGCCATCAAATGATCTTAATAGTACATTTGTTACGTTTTTAGCTTACGGGTTATTGTGTTAGTATTGCATTTTTTGTGTTCAAAAACGATACATGTTCACCGTTGAATGCATGGAATGTTTCAACAAACAGGAACAAATGCAAGACAATGAAAAGCAATTTGCATCTACACTATTATCATGGAATCCGTTAAAAATGTATATCTATGTAAGACAGTTGAGTTACAATAAAATTGATTGAATCAATCAAAGTAAGAGCAGTAACAAGAGAATCTATACTGTAGCTTTTACTTACCAGTATCAATCGAGGGTAATTATTTCCTAGACAAGTTGCTATTTTTGTTTATTTACGATATCCTTCAAAATATTTCCTCATAGTTTCCTTACTGTGTTGTGTATCGTTGTGGTATAGTCCTTTCTTACAATCGAATCGTTTTCTTATAAGTATATGAATAAACAGTATATAAAGTTTACATGATAAAATTTAAAATAAAAACATCGGTAATTGATTGTAAAAATACTACATCCGAACGTATCCAGTGGTCAGTCGAGCTTCTTAAAATAAACTATCCAATCCTCGGGCCAGATACGAGTGCCTTATGGTTTATAGCGTGTTAAGTAGTATAAGACCGAGTAGACTGAACCTCTTCAGTTAATACTCGATCAGTAGATGCGCTGAGTTATGTAAACACGATATGTCTGTTGCTTCTTATATATCGCGATGCTGGTATTCTAGGGAGTTATCCGCCGTTATATCTGATGTTTCCTCCGCTGGAGATCGCTCAAATTTTGATAAATCAATCAAGCCCTGACGGATTGCAAATATCTTCGTAATACCGAGACAGAATTATTGTAATGACCCTTTTATGTTATTTTAATAAAGCAAAAGTGTATCACTTTAGGCAATTACAGTTACCTGTGCACTAAATTGCACGTTGTGAACAAATGCCAGATTTTACTCGAATAAAATACGGTAGGAAGCGGAGAAAAGTATCGATAAATGCTAGTGATAATCTATAGAAACTATTGAGCCACGAGTTCCACTTTTATCGGATAATAATAACCTACTATTGTTACTTAGCTCTACTTAAATATTGGCATTAACTTTTTTGATCTCGCTTTATTCCGAATAACAAAAGACGCTCATTTTATACATCTTTAGGAATAACACGATTTGTTCTCTATATCCAATAGCTGGGAATTTGCCCACAATAGCCCTGTCATGTAGACTTAGTAGTACTGGGCATTACCCGACCCCAATCAAAGAGGTTCCTTGGTTCTTTTGTTGTATTCATTTTCCTCTTTCAGGGAACATTGTATTTGTATAACAATGATTTGACAACTGCAACAATATAATTTAAGATCAACCAATACTAGAAATAAACAATTAATGAAACAAATAAATGCTTCTTATTAATTTATTGATATGTAGATTTTCCTATTTTGTTTTCATTATTGTAAGATATGTTTTCTATTAGTGTAATTCAATTACTTGTCCATTAAGAAAAACACGAAGCTGACAATTTAAATGGGTCAGGAAAAATATGTTGGACCATTTTGCTGCTAATTCAGAAGGTAATCTGGCAATTGTAGTCTACTCTCAGTAATAAATCTCTTGTAATGCTCGTCTTGTAGCGATATACATTTGATACATGTACATATCCTGGCAATTACATGTGTAATGGCTACTATTATTCATTGCTATATTTAGGATGTACAGACAGCGGTAAAAGGCATTTAAGCTCCTGTATCTATAGGGTTGGCTAAAAACGTTTTTTTTATTAAGCTCTTAATTTTACTTTTAAGCAGCGAATTTGGAAGTACTTTTTCATGAAATGTCGTACTTTGCTTAAACCTCAGATTCATTTGCTCTGCGGCGGCCGTATGGCGACCGTAGCTTCAAAAATTGATATAGAAAAAACGCTTATTCCTATACTATTTTACTATTTTAAATATTTTATTCTGCATATATCTCTCGATTTTGGTAAGCTACGGCCCCCATACGGTCACCGTCAAATGTCAAATCAAATGTGACTGAGGCATCGCATTAGTTTGCTAAAACAATGCTCCATGTGTGTGCTCTCAGTATTTTTGTAGAATATCAGCAATCGTTAACAGCCTTTCTCTTCTACATGGTGTTCCAAGAATATTGTTTTTGAAAGGTTATATATATCCATTTTGACTCAATAAAAGCTGCTGGAGAAGGGCACACTGACTATCAAGGACATCATGAAATTGTAGGTAGATTCGTCATCAGAGTTTGCCGAGTTCATGTCTTAAATATATACATACAGGGTGGTCCAAAAAAGGGGACACTCATATTTCAAAAATAAATATTGATTTTCTTGATGAAAAAAATGATGTCATTTTCGTTTCAAAACGGGTTTTCCAAAACTTGCAAAAACCAAATTTTATTGTCAACTTTATTTACATAAACAGACGTTCAATATGTCCACCATTTTGATCAATTGTAGCCCTCAATTTTGGCCTAAACTGGTCAATAGCATCATTGATGCTGTTGAGACAATGAATTTCACTTCTCAACATTTCTATCCTTAGTAAGGGACTGAGTAGATGTAAGGGGTCCATGATACACCAACTCTGTTAGTTCTCCCATGTGGTTGTCGCAGACGTTGATATCGGATGATCCAATTATGTTGTTTGTGGACCATCCTGATATGAGCTCATTTTCGAATCATTACATTTTCCAACAAGATGGGGCTCTAAGCAATAGATCCCACAATAGTGTCAAATGTTTAAAAGAAAATGTGCCTAGATTCATCCCCCTTAATCACTGATCCCCCCAACATCTGCGGCTACCATGTATGGGGAGAATTAACAGAATTAGTGAACCATAAATCCTTTACATCTATTCAGTCCCTGAAGGACAGAATTATTGATAAGTGAAATTCATTGCCTCAACAGCATATCAATGATGCTATGGACCAGTTTATGCCAAAATTGAGGGCTACAATTGATCAAAATGGTGGACATATTGAACGTTTATTTATGTAAATAAAGTTGACAATAAAACTTGGTTTTCGCAAGTTTTGGAAAACCCGTTTTGAAACAAAAAGGACGTAATTTATATTATGGACGCTGGTTGACAGACATTATAAAAAATTTGAACTTATGATATACCAAATTAAAGATGAGTAAATTCCCTATCCATTGGTATATAATATGACATGTTTGTCATCAAGAAAATCAATATTTATTTTTGAAATATGAGTGTCCCATTTTTTTGGACAACCCTGTATATATACATACTTGTAAAATAACCTTGCAGCAAGGATGAGTTTATGTAGCTTTGGGTGATCTTTCCAACGGTATATCAAGCAAGGTACCATCCATTCAGGTTCTAGCTGTAGCAGGGGATGGAACTCATTTGAGACCCTGAATAATAGTACAATAATGTCATTTCTAAGGGCTATATAGTGAAATATTGGACCAAGGGCCGGAGGCCCAAGGTCCAATATTTCACTATATCGCTCGCAGAAATGACGTTATTAGTATTATTACCACCGTTAACGACCAGGACTGAAACAGCAAGAAAATCTTACGCATTGAACGATATCTAATTTCCCGGGGAAAATTGCCGGTCCAGAATATATTCTAGACCGGTCCATATGGACCACCACTATGACGTCACACATTTCTCAGGTCGATATAGTAAAATAAACGCCTTCTAAACTAGCACTAAAACCCCTAGAACTGGCCCGGCAAGGTGGTAATAATAGTCATATCAATTATATGCCACACATCTAAGTCAAATAACAACGCATTTCAGTTTAGATTCGTCATCTCACTGAACTTGACGTGGGATAAATTCTAATTAAGGTCCGAGCAAACCAAAATTTGATTAAATCATTGGGTACTCTGCAATTTTACAAGCTAATTGAACGCCCTAAGTAATGATGCAGATTATAAATTGGGGCCAGATTTACAATTATGATTTCTCCATGTAGTCCCATTTGCAATTTATTATCATGCTAAGTACAAACATGCTACCGTTTATATAAAATACGAATATCGGTCATTATTCTATGTTTGTTCATTATTCTATGTTTGTCCATTATCAAGAAGAATGTGCTTTTACTGGCACAGTAGTTATGCAAGATAGTAATACTGCATGATGAATTAGCACCCAAGGAGGATTGGCTCCCAGAGTGCAACATCGATATTTTTGCCATGTATGGGCATGTCGTGATTACAAAATTCAAATTCAAACATCCTCAATATATTTTGGTTTGTTTATTTTGAATTAATAGTCGGTTATAATTTCTGAAAATAACAACATTTCGACGTTTCCATTGTAGGAAAATATCGAGTTTCGATCCTGAGAGCCAATGTAACAGAGCAAGGAGGGTTGGATTCTAGGGTCCTAACACGATGTTCTAATCTCCAAGCATCTGGTTCAGTGCTGGTTTCTACGGCAAAGAACGCACAAATGAACTGCAAGGAGAATGGCTGATCTTCTAGCATTATCGACGACAACAATGGAAATGTCATGATTGACTGATATTATACGAGCTATAAATTCATAATCGGCGATAAGACTTGACATACTAGTTTCTAAATCACTTATTGTGTTTTGATTTTTTTTGGAAACATAAACAAAACTCGCGATTTAAATTCTGAAGTGAAAAAATGGCGACAGTTTAATTTTGAATTTTGTAATCACGACATATATGATTCCGTATATGGCAGAATATCGAATTGGAACCCTGGGAGCCAATCCTCCTCGGTACCAGAGCCAAGGAGGATTGGCTCCCAGAGTGCAACATTGATATTCTGTCCCATATATGGAAATGTGATTCAAAATTTGAATTCAAACAGCCGCCATTTTGTTCACTTCAGAGATTAAAGAGCAACTGTGTGTTATTGTCGTAAAATAATTGATGGAAATACTTGCAAAATAGAAAAGCCTGTGTCACAAGTGGGTATTAACAGGCAAATTTCAAATGTTATATTATAATGATGTTTTATATAATGATGTTTTAATTCGATTGATTCTTAAGGTGGATCTCTTAAGGTAGCACAAGGTCCCTCGAGTATGGTCATGTGGTGCTTTGTGTAGGCGGTTGAATTAAAAATAACTGGTATGATATCAATTTATCATCTCTGTATTTCCTACAGGAGCTGTTTCATAATGTATCCTCTTCAGAAGGTTGAAATGCCTTCACGCAAATTACTCACGAAGCAAATATTTCAATAATTTACGTAATGAAATTAAGTAATGTTTTCATTTAGGGGTGGTGTCCAAATGTAAACAGTTGTTGAATAACAAGCTTATTTTCATTACGATGTAACAGCCCCTCATATTGTGAACTTTTAAAGTGAAGATTTATCTCCCTCGTAATTTTTCATAAAAAGCATCAGTCATTATTACACTAAGGAAATCATCGTCATTTACATCTCACTCCAGAAGAAGTGAGTAGCTCCCATAAAACTATCATATTCTTTCGTATTAGGGGATTCTCCTTAGCTTCCCCGTATGGTCATACAAGCCTTATATGGATCTATCAAATGAGATTTAAAATGGCGGCAATAGTAAGTTGAACTCCTATATGGCCCTACAGGGGGGGGGGTCTCCCAAAAATGACCTTTCGTATTGGCACGTTCGATAACAAATTTTATCTCTCAAAGTTCGCTGAACTTGTTTTATGAGTATTCTCTACAAGTTGAACTGATGTTAACGCCATTTCCATGATTTCAAAATTCACTCTGCACATGCGCGGCACCGAGAGAGCACGTGTTCATGATTGTTCACGTGATCACATCCTGCAATTTGATTGGACATCATACAATGTGGAATCCCCGAATACGATAGAATGTGAAAGAATTATGGGAGTTACTCACTATATGGATCTACCACATGATATTAAAAATGGCGGACAACGGTCAGTTGGATTCCTATAAAGGGGGAAAGCCCCAGAGCTTTAGCGATGACTGACATGT